ATCACAAGTAAAGATCTGGTCCAATAGTCTAAATAGAAGTGATATGTTCCAACTTTTTAACAATAAGGATTTCCAGCCTGCAGGATCCACTGTAGTTCATGGATGGTACAACTATAAAATGAGCAAAGGAGTTTTGAAGAAGATTCCTTCACGAATTAAAGATGGTCAAGTTTGTGATGTTCCTGCTTGTTCAAATTCTGGTTTGTTGTTAGACATAACAACACCTAAATATGTTTATTTATTATTTTCACCACCTTCAATGTAGAAAGTCAGCCAATTTTTGTTACTTAGTAAGAATTTGCATTCAGAATTTATTATTATTGGCGTTTTGCACTGTATTTAAGATTCATAAGCTCTCCTAAAAAAGTAAGGAATTCTTTGCAGATAAAATAAAACCTAACATAAAGAGCTGTGCTGCTGACGTTTCTGAGTACTCCAGTAGCGGAATCTTTTATTATCAACTTCCATCTTTTATTTCCATGTTTGATGATTTCAATGAAAGTTTGTCTTTGTCCTCATATACAAAAGGTTTGCTATGCAAAGTTTAATCTTTTTTTAATCATTTAATCAATGTTTTCAAAACTAAAGCAGTCTTTGATAATACATTAATTCTTTGAAATTCTTCTTCTCTGCTCCTGGGTATTAAGCAGATGAACTACCTATATAGCTATGATGAGCAAGGGCCAAATTCTTTCTGAATTGTGAATTTCAAGGCCCCTAGCTCAGGTGTAACATGGGGGGATCTACTTATATACTGTAAATGAATTAATTGATTGAAATCTGCTTCTTAGTATTAATAAAACATTTTTGAAAAGCAAGGGACCTTTTCCAAAATTGTGAAATGTGTGGACCAAGGGTCAGGGGTTCATGTGTGGTAGTGGCACTACTGATTATTGCTGAATATTTCTGATTTGTCGAAATGCATTTTTTGTTCCTCTACTTTGTCTATGGGATTAAGTAACCAAAGTTAGCATTCTTAGTGTATAGTAATGGTAAGCAATCGTGCCTCTTTCAAAATTTTTAATGTTATTATTAAAACATGAACCAAATTCAATCGCTGGAAAGTTCTTGCATGATGCTCAGGTGAACTATAAGGCCCATGGGCCTTTGTCAACTCACCTGAGCTAAAAGCACCAGTGATCTTTTCTGATCACCCGTTGCCCGTCATCCGTACCTCCTTCTGTCTGTCCGCCCGTCTGTAAACTTTTCACATTTTCAACTTCTTATAAAGAACCATTAGGCCAATTTTAACCAACCTTGGTTCAAAGCATCCTTAGGTGAAAGGGAAGTTTAATTATCAAAATGAAGGACCAACCCTTGTTAAGTATGGGAGATAAACAAGGAAGGGTAAAAATGGATGGAATCTTTTAAAAATATTCTTCTCAAGACTCACTTGGCCAAAAAAGCTTAATTTTTTTTTGGCAGCATCCTTGTGTAGTGTAGATTTTGAATTGTTCAAATCATGAGGGCGGACCAAATAGGTAATCCACGTTTTATATTAAATATTAATATAAAGTAAATCTATAAAAAGCTTCTCAAGAATCACTGGGCCCGAAAATTCGAAAATCATGACCCCGGGGTTAGAGCGGTGCCACAAAAGGTGTTACATGAGGAAAGTCTGGTGAAAAACAGCAGGGCCAAACTTACTGAGGTGAGCGCTGTGGCCATTGGGCCTTTTGTTCAGTTTTGCTTGTTTCAGACAACCTTTACACTTGGGGTGATTACAACTTATTCTTTATGGCATCTGATGAAAATGGAAATACAGCCATGTGCCATAGCAAGCTGTATGTGAAATGTAAGTCTGTGCAATAAATTGTTGTTATATTGACATATACTCAACAAAAAAAGTAAAGGGTTATGAAAACCTTCATTTTTAATTTCTACATCGAAAAAAGTATATTTAATCAAATAATTACAATTATATCCGATAGCTATAAGTGTCAATTCGTTATATACTTGTTCGCAATATGCATGTTTTTCTGTATTATTCAAGGAAAAATTAATTCAAGGGAAGTGAAATTTCTTTACATTACAGTAAACTATTCTAGTCATAAGTCCACTACAGCTTTAATCTCATCTGAGAATTCTGGTCTGAAATTGTCTTTTGGTCGATACAATTACCTTGTTAGCAAATACAACTTAAAATCGAGTTCAATGATGACCGATGTTTTTTCATACTAATTGTTTGCCAATTATTCACACACTGAATTTATTACGTTTTCACCGATCATAACAAGGGGCATATGGAAGGTGTGACTGGTCAGCAGGGGTTGCAGACGCCTTCATAGAATCTGATCGCACCTCTGATATGTGTTTGTGTTTGCTCTGCTTGTTTAAAAGAACTCTTGAGCTTGAATACTGTTAGTTACCTTTATGTTTCATGCTGGTTGCTGGAAAACTTTAAACTATAAATAATTGATTTTTAAAATATCACATTGCATATTTCAGATAATCCTGACTGCCCTTCACCAAGAACATATTCACCTACATCAATTAAATATTGCTCTTCAAGTAAAGACATATGTAAATTTGAATGTCCTGGTAATCAACAACAATCTCCACCGGCTCCAAGATACAAGATGTGCTCTGAGCTTGGTGTATATAATCCACTCAACCCAAGGCAGAAGTTTTTAGTGCCATCTTGTGCAAGTAAGGCTACAGGAATGAAAGATTTTCCAAATTTCTTGGAAAGTACATGAAAATAAAACGCTCATTCTTTTAATTTCATTATGAACCGCTTCAAATAAAATATGAAAAAGATATATTGTAGTCAACTGTTAAAACACTTTCTTATTACTCAGATCGGGAGGGTGGAAATAAAAGATGATGTTTTCGTGATGGAATTTAGTCTATAATGTGCACAACACGTTAATTTCAGATGCCAGCAAGGTATATGTTAAGGTGGAAGTCTCCTTGAGATATTTGTTTGTGGTTACCTGTAGCCCAGTTTTTGTTACATCAATGAGAAGTTCCATACTGACTACTTTTAAAAATGTTGTATTTAATAACTGGAATGGTGTGTGCACAACATCTGACTGCAGCAATATGAAAATCTTATGTACCTGTGTTCCTGAGAGCAAACAGATGATAGGCACTTTACAAATAAATAATTTAAGGTAATTTATGTTTTGAAGGAAACGAAACTGTTATCTTTTTATAAACAAAGGGAAAATATATATACTAATACATATAGTTTAGAATTCGTATTTATAAAAAATTGACTCGTGCGTCTTTAGTTTCATTTATTTGTTCATCTTCAAGACACACAATCACGAAGAAGGAAAATGGATCTGATACATTCACACCAAAAGAGGTCTTTATGTATTTAATTGCTGAAGAAACGGTATTTCAAGCCGAAGTAAGTAATTACAAGGCCCCAAAATTAGGAAACGAACTTTGAATGAAGTCAAAATCTTACATAATTGTTAATTATGGAATACAAATTTGCACTTAATAGCATTTTGGCATTGTAGTGTTGAAAAATATTTTATAATTGATATTAAGTCTCTGTATACAGCAGTTAGTTATTTTTTTTTAAAAGTACAATAATGTAAGTTATTTGTTGATTATATTTCTGTTAACATAAATATTGTAAAAATAAATCACATGAATATCGTTCATTCTTGAAAACATTTATCAAAAGTTATCATTATTTACATAATTATTTGCCAAACAGAGCTGAAAGAAATGAATTAAAAATTACTGAAAGAAAATTTGTAAATCAAATGTGCTTATCAATCATTTTCAAATTCAATTCTTATAGCACATTGGTGGAGCGATAATGCTGAATGAGCATTTGGTTATTAAAGATATTTTATGGTGTCCAGAAGATTACATGGTTATTGGTAATAATTGTGGTAAGCAAATCTGTTATAACAACAAAATTTACCTTTCTTATATTTTATTCAAAATAAAAACAGGAAAATGAACAAACATGTTTAAATTTGTTCCATATCTCATGCAATCTTCATGTCAAATTATTTGTTATTTGCGGGGAAATACTGTATAATTTTTCACATGTTTGAATTAGTTTAAATTTTGATCATTTGTCTGTATCTTTATATGGAATTTCTTTCTAAAGGTGATCAATATAGTCTAAAAATGGCCACAACCCCCTAGTCCTCTTGAGGGAAATAATGAATTCAATTACTCATTCTTGGTTTAATGTTAGGAATTTTTGAATCCAAAATAAATTGTACAATTAACTTACATAGCCATTTTATGCTGTTTTTACCTGCCATGACAAAAAAGTAAAACTATCTGTTTGGTTTTACCCTTCTAGTTGAGTGCAGTATAGGAACCTTTTTCAACAGCACAAGCCATATTTGTGAGTACTGTCCTATTGGAACTTATGGAGATCAGTATGGATTGAAAGCATGTAAACCCTGTGTAATTGGAAAAACTACACTAGGACTTGGTAATACTGATAGTACTGATTGTGTTGGTAAGTTCGTGTGACAAAATGCACTTTTTATCTTTCTCTTTTATAAGTTCGAACTTTTCGAAAGCATGATAAAAAAATAATCAAGTCTTCAGATTTGTCCTTTCAGAAAACTAAATTAATTGTACATATATACACAATTTTAAATTATATATTTAGAGAGTGGCAACAAAATTTTTATTATACATGTACATGTATATATACGCATACTTTTGTTAAAACCTTTCTTAAAGCTTTTTTTATCACCCTAATCAGATGACTGCCCAGTTGGACAGTTCTGGAATGTTACAAAATGCGCCTACTGCAAAAAACAATTTTATCAAGATATGACTGGGCAAGATTACTGTTTCATCTGTCCACTGGACAGAACAACAGGTGGAGTAGGATCCAACAGCTCCTTACAGTGTAATGGTTAGTTTGTATTTTGTACAAGTCTCAGTTTCGCTGAATTTGAGGGACATTAATTCACGTCTGTTTTTCTTCTGTCCTTCATTCCATCTGTGTGTCTTTCTCTGGTTTGAAGTAATTCCTATTTAGATGTCAAACGTCTAGAGGAAAAGGTCGTGAACTCAAATATTGCAGTTTTCCCCCACATTTTCAATTAAATCTCATCATAATTTGCAGAGAGTAGACCCTTGTTAAATTAAATATTAAAGATCTAGGTTAAACATTCACACGTAGATTTTGCGTTAGAATTTTATTGCTCTTGTCAGTTTGACTTTAGAAGATCCCTGTTTATTTTTGGATCAAAAGGTCAAACACCAAGGTCGGACATACAAAAATTGCATCAGTAGTGTTCGGATGATATCTTAAGTTCTCTGATAGCTTTTGAAATAATTATTTAAGGTCATGTATTCTTTATAATCAACTTATAAAAGACCTATATTGTCTTTGAGGCCAAAAGTTGAAATATCAAGGTCAAGGTCAGTAATATTTTCTCTGCATCTTCCAGATGCCCCCTTTATTTTCCTTAATCTACAAAATCTTAAGTAAACTCGTTATAAAATGTAATAGGTAACTTATTGCATGTGTAACTTAGATAAAACCCATAATTGTCAAAAAAACATAAATTTTTGTTCTATTTGAATCGGAATAAATTTGTGAGGTGTTAACTGTCAAGGAATAGTTTCTTTTCACTATGCTAGAGCTGCATGAATTGACACGTACAGAGTTTTTCCCCCTAAAACCAGATTCATTCTCTATGAAAGAAATGTGGGAAAAAAATACTTGGAAGTATAGAATGAAGTTGGGCTGTTTTTCTTTGTAAATCACTTAATTTTCCTTTAATTCATCACACAATTATATAAACCAATCATAAACACATAAAATACATCAATATTTTCCCAACAAATCTCTGAAGTACATTTTTATGAATTTCATTTTGTTCCTATGTTTTAACATTGAATTTCTATAAAGATGTAAAAGATTCAGGGGAGAATGCAAAATTAGACTTTAGAAAAATCCTCCTGTTAAATATGAATTTCAGTTACATAGTCATACATAGTGCCATCATAGTTATAATTTAAATTGATTGGTTAAATAGAGTGAGAAAAAGATTCACTGTATTGCCTTAAGTCAGATTCTGTGAATTACCTTTAGTAAAAATTGTAGAAACAAGGGAGGCGTCTACTTTTCCCTCTACTACAATTGGAGAAGTAACCACCAATGCTGATGAAATACTAGATAACTCCACAGGAAAGAAAAACACAGATGACAGTGACTTCAATCCTTTTATAGTTATTCTTACAATCAGTGGCCTTATCATTGTCATATTGCTCACTGTGATTGGAATTCTTCTGAGGAGAAGATTTCAAAAGACTGCTTTAAAGAATTCAAAGCAAGAGCAAGAACTCTTCTGAAAATTAAGAACTAGTACCTTGAAATTTAAAGAATCTGATGGACTTCCTACCTTACAGTTTCAAAAATATAATAATGAAATGGATGAATTGCTAATAATTAATCTGATTTTCAATGTTAACTCGTAAACTTATTTTCTTGTTAGAAAGCAAAGGTTTTGTAAGATAAAGTTTTAACTTACCAAAGTTCTATTACAAAGAAATTCTGAACAAAGCAGTCAATTAAAATGACTTTGGTATATTTTTATGATTTTTAGGAGGGGGTGTAATTATGCTTTCAATACCAAAAAAAGAGTTAATACATGTTAAAAGTTAGGATTTGTTTTAAAATAACATTTTTGGTCGGTTTGTAAAAAAGCAGTGTTACTCTTTTTTCGCTACAGAATGATTTTTATCATTCTGGTATGCACCACCGATAAATATTTGAGACCAATGTACATCTAGTGAGTAATAAATAAGTAAATCAACCTCAAATTGACCATCCTTCAACTACATTGAAGTCTCAGCTACAATGAAGTCTTTTAAGCTTCTTGAAGCTTTTTGAAGAAATTTTTGAAGTCTTTACCAAACTGCAATACATTTATATTCACAACAATTCAAATAAATTTATCTTTTTTGCAGCTACACCAATCAGACCTTGGAAGTTCAGGAACCTGATAAACATTCATATTCTCAGCTGAATGTGTTAAATGAAAATTTTGAGTATGATGAAAATGGAGGTTATTGGGAGCTGGATTCTATACACCAAGTAGATACTGTATCTGCACATGTAGAAGGAACAAGAACTGACTATGAAAATGACACAGAGAGGCAACTTTCAGATGAGCCACATGTTTACACAGACGTACATGTGGAATAAGAAATGCTCATGAATACAGTATCAGAGAATGGAATGGTTGTATGATACATCAACATATTACTCGTGGTTTAAATTTTATATGACACGAATTATTATTAAATATTACATAATTTTTTCTGCATTAAAACAATACAAATAGATTTTGTATAACCATTTCCGTATTTAGAAGTTTATGGGCAAAAAATAACAATACAATTAGATTTTGTATAACCATTTCCGTATTTAGAAGTTAATGTGCAAAAAATCAAATTAATTATAATGTATATTTATTTTTCCCCACCATAGACAAAATTTGGAGAAGTTATTTGTCAGATTAATCAACTAGGAGTCATTTTATTAATAGATTTTTTATTTCAGAAACAAACTCTCTCTCCTCTCTCTCTCTCTCTCTCTCTCTCTCTCTCTCTCTCTCTCTCCATAAACAAAACTAAAAAAAATCAATTGTGAAATATACATTTACAGTCAAACTCTATATTGACATTTGTATTGAAATCACCCTGGTTGAGGCTTTTGAGAATTTTTACATAATTTTTAATGCTAACAGACAAATAAAAGAATTGCTTTTCATGTGTTCAAATCTACCTTGCATTATAGTATAAGTAGTTAAGAGGTTTATATATTCATAAACATCTATTTAAGATACAGATGAAAAGTAAATGAGCAAAATTAATATTTTTAAAAACTTAATACAAAGCTTGCGAATGTTTACTTATCGTCACTAAAAAAATCCGAATTGAATTTACCCAATTAGAGCTTGTCTATGCAAATTGTGTTAAATTATGGCTAGAGGCAGGAATATAGATTTGTTTGTAACAATCACATTAATCAGGTCAGATCTGCATTTTTTGTCAATTCTAGACTTTGATTGCTGAGTATTTGGTATTGGTACGGTGATCTTACTTGTATTGATGATAGATGTACTCTACGAGACATGCATTCAATGCTGGGTAGGACGTTGATCTATTTGATGAGTGACCTGGTTCAAGTATTTGGAACAAGTTCATTTTCAAAATAATTAAAAGCCCTATAATTCTAAAATTGCTCTGATGATGCATCTCAGGCAGTACCATATCAGGATTGCTTTGGAAGATGGATCTGATCTTCATTTTCTGGATGAGGTACCAGTTAAATGTATTTGAAGTATTTTCATTACCAAGCAACTACGGACAAAATATATTTGTAGTGAAGATCTTCTTAATCTAAGATTCCTATGTTTATACTTGTTCTGAGCCCCATGGGTCCCCGACTAAAATCTGAAAAACATTTTCTTTTTGCGGCTATTGATTTTAACCTTTTTTTAAATATGAACATGTCAAGGATGATGTAAAAATTGTGCATTCCTTCCTTTTAAGAATCAAGTTTTGAAAAGATGGCATGTTATGAATTATTTCAGAAGATGAATCCATCTTTGCCCACAACCAGCTGTAAACATGTATGTCCTTTAGATTAGAACAAAAAAAACTATTTTTTTTAATAAATGCTCCTACCATTTTTTTTTTACAATTCTTAATTCAAAATAAATTTTACCGACTCGACTCTTAATTGAAATCTGCTTCGGATCTGCTTCGGACATGTACAATTTTAATATTGCATATAATTTTGAGCAAAAGTTTAAACGTACATATAAGCAAAAGCTAAGATTTGAGTTGCAATTTTATTTTTATTCTATGTACGAAAGTAATAAATATAATAGTTAACGGTTTACTGCACCTCATTTAAATCTAATATAAGTCATGAAATGTGGAAATAACCAGCTGTATTTCAGCTTAAAGTCCATGACCCCCAAAGAGCCGCAATGGAAGGTCAAAGTTTAACATAGGAATGCATGGGGAAAATCTTTAAAAAGCTTATCTAGAACCACCCAGTCATGATTGGTAATATTAATTTGGAAGCATCCTTAAATAATGTAAATTGAAGTGTGTTTAAATCATGATCTCAAGGGTAGGACGAGTCCGCAATGGACAATTAAATATTTGACTTTGTCCAAATCATGACCCCCAAAGGGCTGCAATGGACGATCAAAGTTTAACATAGGAATGCATGGGGAAAATCTTTAAAAGGCTTCTCTAGAACCACCCAGTCATGATTGGTAATATTAATTTGGAAGCATCCTTAAATAATGTAAATTGAAGTGTGTTTAAATCATGATCCCAAGGGTAGGACGAGGCCGCAATGGACAATTAAATATTTACATAGGAAAGCATCAGGGGATTTTTTTTGGAAATTTCTTCTCAAGAACAGCAAAGCCATGATTAGTCATTTCTATGTACTTTTTTCAATTTCATGATATATAGTAATATTTAAGGAGAGGAACTAGTACAGATAAGTTGCAAGAACTTGTTCCAATCATTTTGCTTTATTCAATAAATGTGTTCAAAACATAAGAAAACATGTGATTTTATTTGTATAGTGTCTAGTGTATGTATGACTTGCGCAACGTAGTTTTTGTCATTATGCAATATACTCACTAAATGATATTTATGGCACGCCAAATTCACAAAAATGAGCTAAACATAGTTTCACAGTCGATAAACTAGGTTTATCGGTTGTAAACTATAGTTTACGGACTGTTAACTATAGTTAACAACGTTATTCTATATTTTACATCTGTAAACCATAGTTAACGCGATAATCTATGTTTCAGAACCGTTAACTGTACTTAACAATGAAAACAATCATTTCCAGTTGCAAAACATAGATTATCTGATAAATACAGTTTCACGATTTGTAAACTATGGTTTACAACTCATAAGTATAGTTTACGATTGTAAATTATAGTTTACAGACGTGAATCTATGTTTATCAACAAAATCTACTGTTAACATTTTATTACAGACAGATAAACTTAGCATTCGTAAAATATAGTTAACGATCGTTCAATAGAGTTTTACAGATTAAAACTATTATTAACGAATAGTAAACTTTAGTTCTCGGTTTGTAAACTATAGTTTACAGTCGATAAACTTAGTTTATCAACTGTGGAACTATGTTTAGCTCATTTTTTGTGAATTTGGCGTGCCATAGATATCTAAATAATAGGAGTTGTGGATAAGAGATGTGTACCCCAAAGCGTAACAGACGGACGCACAGATAGACGGACATCCCGATTACTGTATACTCTCCAGCTTTTCAAGCGGAGGGTATAATGATCTTTGAATCGTATCTGCCAAAACCTTGCTGTATCTGGATTTAACCGCTGTATATAGAATTTTTAAAGTGATACATTAATTAGTACTGTACACATGTGTCTTCCCTTACCAAAATACTCACCTTCTGGCAACATCTTCTGGCATCATTGCCGCAATATTGTAGCAACATTCTGGCAAAACATTGCAGCAATATTGCGGTAATTTCGTTTTTCGTATGTAAATTAGATTTGCTGCAATATTGCCAGAAAAGTGTTGCGGCAATGTTGCTGCAGAGCAATTGTAGTACATGTATTATTTCAGGTTGTGCTGCAGCATTTTTGGGGCAACACTATAGTACTACATCAATTAGTAATTAATAGAAATAATGATCTATCAATCTAACAATTAACAAACTGTGCTGAGGAACATAATAATCAATAGCAAGCCATAGGGTCAGTAAGAATAAGCTACTTCTGCTATTCTTTGAACAGATAGAAAAATTATGTTGATCATAATAAAAATCAAGATATTTTTGTGAAACAGTACGTGCCAAGGTCACAAGGTCAATGATCTTCGTGTCATTTCAAAGAACTTAATTAGTGGAATATGCATACAAATATGAAGTCTTTATCTCTTATAGTTCAAAATTTATGGCAGAGGTTCAAATAGGCTATTTTTAGCATATAAGTCACTGTAAAGGTCACAAAGATATTGACCTTGGTGTTATTTGAAAGAGCTTAATTAGTGAAGGGCGCCACCAAATACGAGTTCTCTTTCTTTTACGGCTCAAAAGTTATGTCGAAGGTTTAAACAATCTATTTTAAGCATATGGGTCACAGCCAAGTCACTGAGGGTCATTTACCTTGGTGTCATTTGAAAAAGCTTAATTAGTGGATTATGCATACTAAATATAAAGTCTCTACCTTTCATGATTTTAAAGTTATGGTGAGTATTCGAAAAAGCTATTTTTAGCATATAGGTCACAGTCAAGGTCACAAGGTCATTGACCTTGGTGTCATTTGAAAGAACTTAATTGGAGTATGCATACCAAATATGAAGTCTCTATCTAGCTCTCATTGGTTCAAAAGTTATGGTGAACTGGTTAAAGTTTACAAACAGACAAACGGACAGGACAAAAACAATATGCATCCCCGATCTATAAGGATAAAACATACGCTCAACTAGGACCTGGGGTCCCCCGCAAATAGTTCGTCATTTTGCGTAGTAATAAAACATTCTAGGAACTCTCCAGGCATTAAAGGCACAAAAGTAAATTCATTTATATCAATACGGAGACCTCAGGTCACCCTATATATTGATTGAATTTTATATGATAGACACTTTTCTTTGTCTTACTCCAAAATAATCATATTTATAACTTTATAAAGATCAACATTCTGATGTATATGTTAGCAGAAACGTGAAAGTAATAAAGGGTGACCAGAGGTAACCTCATATTGTACATCAATAGGGGGACCAAAGATCACCTTACATTGTACATCAGTAGGGGGACCAGAGGCCACCTTATATTTAACATCATTAGGGAGACCAGTGGTCACCTTATATTGTACATCATCAGAGGGATCATAGGTCACCTTACATTTTAAATCAATAGGGGTCCAAAGGTAATCTTTTATTGCTCATAATAGGGGGGGGGGACCTGGGGATACCTTATATCGTACATCATTTGGGGGACCAGAGGTCACCCTATATTGTACATCAGTAGGGGGACTACAGGTAACCTAATATTGTACTGTATATCAGTAGAGAGACCAGAGGTCACCTTATATTGTACATCAGTAGTAGGACCAGAAGTAATCGTATATTGTACATCAGCAGAAGGACCAGAGGTCACTTTATATTGTACGGGGACTAGTGGTCACCTAATATTGTACTGTACATCTGTAGCGGGACCAGAGGAACCTTATATTTTACATTAATAGTAGGACCAGAGGTCATCTTATATTGTACATCAGCAGAAGGACCTGAGGTCCTCTCTTGTATATCAATAGGGGGACCAGAGGACACCTTAAGCTATACATCTATAGGGGGACCAGAGGACACCTTATATTGTGCATCGGTAGGGGGACCAGGGGTCACCTTATATTGTACATCAGTAGGGGGAACAGAGGACACCTTATATTGTACATCAGTACGGGGACCAGAGGTTATCTTATACTGTACATCAGTACGGGGACCAGAGGTTATCTTATATTGTACATCAGTAGGGGGACCAGAGATCACCTTATATTGTACAACAATAAGGGGACCAGAGGACACCTTGAAACCTTGAATTATACATCTGTAGGGGACCAGAGGACACCTTATATTGTTCATCAGTAGGTGGACCAGAGGTCACCTTATATTGTACATCAGAAGGAGGAACAGAGATCACCTTATATTGAACATCAGTAGGGGGACCAGAGGTCACTTTATATTGTACATAAGTAGGGGGACCAGAGGTCACCTTATATTAAACATCAGTAGGATGACCAGAGGTCACCTTATATTGTACATCAGCAGGGGGACCAAGGGTCACCTTATATTGTACATCAGTAGTAGGACCAGAAGTCATCGTATATTGTACATCAGCAGGGGGGCTAGAGGACACCTTATACTATACATCTGTAGGGGGACCAGAGGACACCTTATATTGTACATCAGTAGGGGGACCAGGGGTCACCTTATATTGTACATCAGTAGGAGGACCAGAGGACACCTTATATTGTACATCAGTACGGGGACCAGAGGTCACCCGATATTTTACATTAATACGGGGACTATTGGTCACCTAATATTGTACTGTACATCAGTAGAGGGACCAGAGGTCACCTTATATTGTACACCAATAAGGGGACCAGAGGACACCTTATACTATACATCTGTAGGGGACCAGAGGACACGTTATATTGTACATCAGTAGGGGGACCAGAGGTCACCTTATATTGTACATTAGTAGGAGGAACAGATTTCACCTTATATTGAACATAAGTAGGGGGACCAGAGGTCACTTTATATTGTACATAAGTAGTGGTGACCAGAGGTCACCTTATATTAAACATCAGAAGGATGACCAGAGGTCACTTTATATTGTACATCAGCAGATGGACCAAGGGTCACCTTATATTGTACATCAGAAGGGGGACCAGAGGTCACCTTATATTGTGCATCAGTAGGGGGACCAGAGGTCACCTTATATTGTACATCAGTAGTAGGACCAGAAGTCATCGTATATGGTACATCAGCAGAAGGACCAGAGGTCACTTAATACTGTAAGGGAACTAGTGGTCATCTAATATTGTACTGTACATCTGTAGCGGGACCAGAGGACACCTTATATTTTACATTAGTAGTAAGACCAGAGGACATCTTATATTGTACATCGGAAGAAGGACCTGAGGTCCTCTCTTGTATATCAATAGAGGGACCAGAGGACACCTTGAGCTATACATCTATAGGGGGACCAGAGGACACCGTATATTGTACTTCGGTAGGGGGACCAGGGGTCACCTTATATTGTACATCAGTAGGGGGACCAGAGGACACCTTATATTGTACATCAGTACAGGGACCAGAGGTCACCCGATATTTTACATTAATACGGGGACTAGTGGTCACCTAATATTGTACTGTACATTAGTAGAGGGACCAGAGGTCACCTTAAATTGTACACCAATAAGAGGACCAGAGGATACCTTATACTATACATCTAGGGGACCAGAGGACACGTTATATTGTACATCAGTAGGGGGACCATAGGTCACCTTATATTGTGCATCAGTAGGAAGAACAGAGTTCACCTTATATTGAACATCAGTAGGGGGACCAAAGGTCACTTTTTATTGTACATAAGTAGGGGGGACCAGAGGTCACCTTATATTTAACATCAGAAGGATGACAGAGGTCGCATATGTACATAAGCAGGGGTACCTAGGATAACCTTATATTGTACATCAGTAGGGGGACCAGAGGTCACCTTATATTTAACATCAGAAGGATGACCAGAGGTCACCTTCTATTGTACGGGGACTAATGGGCACCTAATATTGTACTGTACATCTGTAGCGGGATCAGAGGACACCTTATATTATACATTAGTAGTAGGACCAGAGGTCATCTTATATTGTACATCAGAAGAAGG